AAATTCGACGTATTTTTCATATTCTGATTGAAAATTTTAGTATTCCATAAGGCAAATGGTCTAGCAAAAATACTGGATGACCTAGAAGAAAACGCGGTAGAAAGCATGCGATAAGCCCAAAAGAATGTAAAATTCGTGTAAGGTAGATTAAGCAATTATTATATTAACAAAGATTAAATATCAGAACGTAAATTATACTATATTACATTTTAATGCTATAATTTTTTAAAAAGCAATATTTTATAATATTTTTATAATTTTTATAAAAATATTTATTTTATGTGAATATTATTATATATGTTGATAACATTAGCCGGGAACTCGATGCGCACTATTCGTTTCCACTATCACACGTTCACTTAACATTATGCGGTCGTTGTTCTTCACGACCTTTCTCCTCCTACTTATTATGTCAACATCTTCTTTTTGCAACGAGCTGAAAGATGATAGGGATTATTACCAGATATTAAATGTTCCCTCAACCGCATCTAAGAAAGAAATTAAAAAAGCTTTTAGGAAACTAGCTATTAAATTTCATCCAGATAAAAACAAAGAACCCGACTCTGAGGCTAATTTTAAGAAGATATCAGAAGGTTGTTACTTATTATATGCTTATCCTTGTGGCAATTTTTATATTGCTTCCGTTGTTCTCTATGCTAGTCTGTTTATTATAATGAAATTTTATTTTCTTGTGCCTGCCTTGCAGCTTACGATGTTCTCTCTGATAATTCAAAGCGCAAGCAATACGATGCCGTTGGTCATGAGTCCTTCATTCGTTCTGGTGGACCTGGGGCGGGATCGTCTAATCATTTTGACATGCACAATTTTTTCCATAGCTTTGATCATTTCCTTCACCACCGTATGCACGAAAATTTCCACAACTCACACTCTCAAAACTTTCATTTTGATTTTAAAAGTCTATTTGATGACGAGGATGATGATGATCCTGCTCACCATTTCGAAGATGCGGACTACAGTTTTGCTCGAAGTGTTAAGTCTCAAAGTTTCCACGAAGGTACTTAGTACTGTTTTCTTTCATTTAATGTCCCTTTGCTTGCGTGGATTTGAATTATATAACTATTTTTGTATTTGTAGCTCGTGGTTGCAGAACGAAAACCGTCAGACAAGGAAATTCTGTATTCTCAACTACTGAATGTTTTTGATGTACTTCCTTTACACCCTACTTCTTTCTTTCTTTTATTCAAAACTCTCTTGACTACATACTTCGCCTTTGGCCTCCAAAGTTGACCCTCGTCCCCGTTTATTTTGTATATTATTTATTAGTCTCATGGATCCCATATGCTTACATCGGGCTTTCAACAGATTTATTATGGCTCCGTCTAATCCCATGTGTCCGGCGTGTATTATATAATAAGCAGCACTCCTTACGATCGCTCTGAAGCTCTAGTCACTTATCTCCTAATTATACTCCAATTTAGATAGGTGTAGATTATTTGGATAGGCTGTATAGGTCTTCATTTCCTCCTACACTCATACTGGTTTAGTTCATAAAAAACT